TGGCAATCAAAATGTTTGGATTTGCAGGTGCTGGAGGGACTTGAAAAACCTCGTCTTGCTCCCCTTGAGGCTTCCACTTCAGGTCACGCGAATAAACTGGGAATGGAAACCAGAACACGGTCAAGGTTACGATGCTGAATTTAGTTCTGGGAATCCCGTGTGAACTCACCATTGGAATTAATATACAGCTTTTCTGGGTCAGTTTCTCCAGCTTTCGCTTTTGGGTTTCGTTTGCATTCGATTAACAGATCAAATACAAGGGTGTTTCTGTCACTAGCGCCTCCGCCGGGAGTTAGGTATTCGAAATTTGTTGGGTCCACTTTCAGTGGTATGAGACCAATCCGGTGGCCTAAAACTTCGTCCTGGATGACAGATGTGTTATTGAAGAGGTAAACACCTTCTATGGCCATTGTTGGGACCTGCAAATACCGTGAGAAATGACACGAGTGATATTTTGCTCTTATACTGACCTCAGCAATGAGTATTCGACGGAACGCATTGGCTATTGACGTGTCAATACCGACAATGTCGAATTCGATTGTAACATCTGAAAGCCGCTGCACTTTAACGACTAATGACTACCGTTGAGCGTTAGGGAGTGGGATGCTTTAAAGCTATGGGATTCCAGGAATTACTTTCTTAAATTGCACGATGTCCCACAAGTAGTCGTTGCTTGGGTCATAACCAGGAAAATCAGTACTGGAGACCTGAGTATATGGAGGCATCAATGACGGGCGTTGGTAGTGCTCCTGGACCCACATTGGATACGCTCTCCTGCCCGTAATGCACTAGCCGTCGAGGATCATCAAGCGAAGACATGGAAGAGAACAATTTGACAGCGCTTGATAGTTTTTGGTGCCACAATATTCAGGACTCGGTCTCGTGACATGACTTTTGAACATTGACAGTTTCCATCAGGCGCACTCACTAACATCGTAAGATGGAATCTTGGCCTTCTCTTCCATTGAACAGCATCTGACTATTCAAATTTCCACAGTGATCGATTTTTGAACCATGTCTGGAACGTCACTACTGCAACAACGATATGTTCCCGGTGCCCCCCCACCAACACCTCCTTCAAAAAGCCAATTGAAGCAAAAAAGGAAGCAGGAACGGGATGCCATCAAAGCTGAAGAAGATTTGCGTGCCGATATCCTTGGTATCTATACGACGAAACCCGAGAAAACACAGAAACAGCCCAAACCTGAACCACAACCGCCTGAGGAAATCGACGAATCGAAACTCCCTCCTACCCCTATTACCGATCGGGTTCTATTGGATCGGATACGGGTGCTCAAGAAAAATATCGTACGTTCTACTGATGCTCCTCGCTTCACGGCCATTTAACCATGGCCTCGCAACAGTCGAAGTCAGAAGCTCTCGCTTCTCAAGGCGATGTGCAGGGAGATCATCGAAAGAGAGACGTTGAATCGCTTCCAATCCACCGGGCTGTCCTCGAGAAGCTAGAGACGGTCCAGAGGGATTTCAAGGTGTGGGTCCTGTATAAATATGTGTTTGTCTGTTGGCTACCACCGATACCAGGCTGCAGAACGCGAAGCGGAAAAGAAGAGGGCCGAGGAACAGGCCGCAGAACTTGCTGCCAGGGAGGCCGAATTCCAAAAACGAGAGAAGAAAGCTGCGAAATCCATCGAAACAAAAAATCTCCAACAAGTCCGTTTGATAGTTGCCCTCCTTTCTCTTTCCACCATTCTTTCGGCCCCTATTCCCCTCCATTCTTGGACGACTGCTAACCGTCGATTGCCTATGGACGAAATTGAACGCAACGCCGTCATTGAGGCGGGACGTGTGCTCCTTACCCCAGACTTTGATTCCGCCGAGAGACAAAAGCTTCTCAAAGGTCTTTTTGGAAGTATTCCCAATGATGGTTTTGCTGGTATTGACTGTAAGTACTTATTTGAGCCGTGATCAGTATTTGTCGTGGCTGACAGGCATCCCAGATGACCGTCTCCTCCAAATTACTCAAGAATTCATCCAGCCCTCTACACCCGTTCTACCCGCACCTGAAACACCTGTTGTAGCCCCTGAAGCCCCTGAAGCAGCGGCCGCATCAGAAGCTGAGCGCATACCGGAAGACCCCATTGTGCAAGAACCGGTGGAAGCTCCCGCAGGAGCTTTCATTCCTTCGACAGGTTCCTTTCAGTTTATGAATGCATCGGAATTGGATTTGGAGACTCTAGAACATGATCATTTGGTAAATTCAACGGCTGAGTGGGTTCAGGTGCACCCTCCTCATGATCAGGTCGTGACCGAGCCGGTGATAAGCGAGGAAGTGCAGAAGCTCGTTGAGGAAATAGATATTCAAAATGAGTCAGGCGTGGGCCTGCCCGCCGAGGCAGCCGTTGCCGTTCAAGTACGTCCTTATGATCGTCTACAACATTGCGGCCGCCTTGCGTGAATTGATTCTTGTGTATCCCAACAGCTACCTGCCGTCAATTGGGCAGATGACGAAGGTGGCCTGCCTGATATTGCACAAATTGAGGAGAAGTTCGGCAGATCAGGGGGTGTTGCGACGCCAACTACACCAGCGATTCCTGATCTCATTAACTCTGGCCTTCAGGTTGAGACAAATGTGAATGGAAATTCTGAACATCCTCTCCAAGGACCCCATAACGAAGGTCACCATCGAGGTGGCCGAGGTCCCTATAGTTCACGCAATGGCCCACCACAGCCTGATGCTGATGGCTTTGTCCCTATTCCTGAACGACGTGGTCGCTATGGTTCTAACGGATACAATGGCGACAAATGGACCGATCACCGCGGCAATGGTGAGCGTGGCGGCAACGACTATCGAGACCGTGGCCGTGGTCGGGGTAACTGGGAAGGACGCGGTGGACGCGGTGGACGTGGCGGACGTGGTGGCGGTGGGTCATATGGAGGAGAACGGTGGGGACCCTTCTCTGGAAACGGCGGTGATACGCAAATGAGAGGAAATCGTGCAGGGTATCGCAGTTACAATGAGAACGGTCATGGCGGGCGCGGCCGTGGACGCGGTGAGAAGATTGTGTGATGCACGAGGACTAGAGTTACTAATATTTTCACAGATTTCCATCGCGGTCAACGCTTTGAAACGAGAGGCGGAGCCCCGGCTACCCTTGTGTGACGATCCACAACCATCGCCAAAAGTTTGTACATTCAATTTTGGGGCCTTCTGATCCTACGCTAGTTTATTTACATACGCCGTCCCTTGCAATTCTGCGCCTGTTCTGTTCTGATAAATCTAAGCTGTCAATCCACCAAATGACTACCAATGTGTTATTTTTTGTACTCCTGCATGATACTAGATGGGACAGTCGGCTAGTACTAATTGGGTGCCCTTTCGCATTATGCCTTAAGCCGTATTGGGGAAGGCTTTTAGCCTCTTCTACCTATTGTGAAAAATCATGACCCCTCCAAATTTTTTTTCATCGGAACGTATTGCTCTTCGACTGTATTGCAACACCACGCAATGATCCCTTTGTGAGACAGTGCCTCAGATAATTGCTCACTGCAACCAGGGCTACACGGCCCAGCCAGTCGAAGAACCTCCAGATTATACGCCACGAGAGCCACGTGGAGTGCAGTGGGAATGGCGGGTTGGGGGTTCAGCGGTAGCGGTGAGTAAGCCAGCGAGCACCAAATGTACGCCACTTACAGATAATGTCTGGCACCACCTCTCGCCTATTTCCATCAATGACCCATGACTCATTTTTTCGAACAGAGCTTCTCTCTACTCCGAAGTTGGCGTCGCCACCCATCCAAGTTTCCAGAAGACTTCGCGGGGGAGAGCGTTCAAGAATTTCCCAAGTTGACCAATCAATATCGTCTACGGATAATGGCGATGAACTGACAGTTGAATTGGTATGTCCTGCGCCTTTCCAACTAAGGGTGCCGTGTAGGCTGACCAGCCTCTCTTGCCGTGGTTCTCAGAGAACCAGTTCGAACCGGGACCGAACCGAGAATCGAACCATTCTGGAACCGAGCCCGTGGTTCGGTTTTGACCCATTTCTCTATTGTCATGCTCCAAACCCAGTTGTTGGCCATGTATTGTGAGTACAGTATAGTGCACGCGTGCCACAAGATCCTACGCCAGTATCTTCACTTGGGTCTTATCCTGCCGCACTGTTGGCGATGGGGTATGCCTTGAGCCGGAAACAGTGTACAACCAACATGCAGGAGGATCAATGGAGGGAGTCCCACTTTTGTCTTGTGGCCGTTTATCTAGCACTTCTATTCTTCACGTCTGTAGTGTCACAAAAAAGGTCGCCACGCAAAACCCCAGCAACCCCGTACACCACCCTCAATGCTGAACCTATAATAATTATCACATCTGGTTCAAACCGTCCCCGGACCGAACCGAACTGCAAGAGAACCAAATAGTAGTTCAGTTCGGTTCATATACTGGTTCGGTTCTGGTTTGACATCGTCAGAACCGTATCTCAAAAAATCGCTCCAGAATCGAATCGAACCGAACCGTGGCACCCCTATTTCCAACGCCACTGCTCCCCACGATGAGAATTCTATATCGACCCTCTCCGTCGCCACGAAGAGGGCTAGTTGCGGACATGGAAACTCCTCCCAAGGGGATGCACCCCTAGGGAAAGGAAAGAAAGACAGCCCTGAGCACCACGATGCCGAGTGATGTCGGAAAAGTTACAAATCCGCAACGTCACGTGATATTCGTTGCGATGCGTTGCAATGCATTGCAACACATCTCAATGCTTGGGCACACTGTTACAATGGGACTTCACATGGCATAAATGGCACTTATACTTGCATGCCAATAAACAACAAATGTGCTACATAAATATTTTTAGTCCGGGTTTGCAATATCTGTTGGACATGCGAGTCACCGGAGATATCTGAGGATTTTACTAAGCGTGCAAGTCCACACAGGAGTCACCTTAGGTAGATTTCCCTCGATTCATCCCTTTGTATATATATATGCATGGACCTTAAGCATTAGGGTAATTTGTATAGTGTCAACTACAGCTGAGTTAATAATGTCGGCATTAGAGTTATGTTTAGAAAAGAAAGACTATGTAGTGTGAGCTCAGTCAGACTCAGACAAGAGTTCTTGTTGGAGGGTAGTGCAAATAGTGCCTTTAGGCACTAGTGCGACCTCTTCCGAAGGTTTACTCGGTTAGGCCATGTGACTTGTTCCCTTAAAAGTCACGCTTCCCTTTCTTATTTTGGCTATTTCGGACTTAGCCACATACTATATTCAATCATCTGAGTTAATTTCTTTTTCCCTCAGTTCTCGCGCGAGACTGAGGTCAATTACTTGCTCTTTATTCTACATCTTGTTACTCATTGTATATTTAGATTATCCAACGATTATTCCGTTAGTTCTGAGGGGAAGGTCTGCTGTAAATGCGATGTTCCAAATATGGCAACCCACTTCAGCGGCTCACTTGCAGTCCAGAATGTACTTTTCTCAATAATTTACGGGTTGATTCAGTCCCAAATTATATATTTTGGAAGCTATTCAAATGGGCTATTCATCGATGTAAAGTGTGTTGACACCGTGGGAAACAGTCCTGACACCCCTTTAGACAGTGGTCAGCATGAGCACAGACATTGAGTTATCCCAAAGACTCGCGTCTGAAAAAGTATTTTGCGTTTTTCTCGATAATTTACTGGTCAATTTAGTCTCAAATTATATATTTTGGAAGCTATTCAGGTGGGCTATCCATTGGTGTAAAGTGCGTGGAAACCGTGGGAAACAGTCCTGACACCCCTCTGGACAGTGGCCAGCATTGTGCACAGACAATGAGTTGGACAGCCAATTTCGCATTTTTCTCAATAATCTATTGGTCAATTCAGTCTCAAATTATATACATTCTGGAAGCTATTCAACGGCTAAACCATGGGAAACAGTCTTGACACCCCACTGGACAGCAGCCAGCAAGGTGTACAGATTATGAGTCGGGAGCAATATAACAATACTTTGTTGGGTATTGATCATTGTATGAATTATAGAAATTCATATAAAACCGGACGGTCTACCTTATATGCCTGGGCTCGCTGGCCGAGTGGTAGGGTTGTGCTGTATTACTATAGACTGTATTGGTGCTTCAATATAATAGGTATGTGTAGTATGTATTCATATCCCCTAGTATGTAGGGTTGTCTGTTCGAACCCCTGAAGAATATCTGCATTTCTTTTGGGCTATTGCCCTGTGGTCACGTTGCAATGCATTTAAACTCAATGGTCCCGTTGCAACGCAGGGTGGCTGTTGCAACATCAAGTAATCAACGCAAGACTTGCATTGCCACCGATCCGTTTTGGCCGTTGTATTGTGTTGCATTGAGTTATAATGTATTGATACAGATTTGTATTTTTTCGGACAGAGTCGGGATGACTCGAAAGCGTTGATAATTAATAAACACGAAGACTTTGATATTTCCTCAATCCTCAGTCGTGGACTTTTGGAAACGAAATCAAGGGCAGATCCAAACTAGGCTGAGGGTAGGCTCTAAAGTCTAGATCTACGCGCAGGCCCTGTCGGAAAATCGCGAGATCGATCAAAAACACGAGACTTGACATTTAAAACGCCAAAATTTGACGTTTAAACGTGAAATTTGGCATCTAAACGTTGTGATAAATTGTTTATGGCGTTTTTTGATATTATTGAATGCGTTTTTATACCCCTCGGACGCTCTGAATATGTTTTTAATAACTTAATAAATGTGTCATAAATGCTTCCTACAGCATCAAAATCGTCAAAAATCCGTCTCATATAACACATAAAGTACCACCACATCTGACCAATGTATTCTCATCGGCTGTTGGGTAGTTGTTGTAAAAAAACGCCATGAAACGTTTCCCGGGCGTTTAAATGATATACGGGATTTTCCGACATCGCTTCCCACGAGCACGTGATTGTCTGGTTGTCCTATAAATTGAGCGAAAAATTTCTCCCCCTCAACTTTACCCACTCCTTTTGTTTTCTTCTGTGTACACAAGGGATTGAGATCTCATACCTGCCAGGATGCTTGAGTTCACGTTCATTCCCTGCTCCTTTGATGGATAGGTGGCCTTCTTCGGTAGGAAGCCAAGCGACTCTGGTGCTTCTAAATGTAAGTCATCACACATCCATTTCTCTACATGCATGATGCAACGGAAATGTTTGCTACTTCGGAGATGGATATGTCAATGCCGACTATCATTTTACCACCAAGATCTCTGATCCCCTCCAATATAGCTGTTTGCGTTGTGGATACTGACGTCTTTGTTCTGGCAGGTCACCCGATGCTAGCGTACCTAAAAGGTGATTAATTTTTCCTATTTTTAAGAGAAGTGATGAGCACGAGGATTCGGAAACTGGCTAAGCCAGCTGTCGAAATTCACAAATCGATTTATACAATTCCAAATGTTTCTTCTGACACACATTCGGCTCGCTTGAGGGGATCACTGATACATCCATATATGCAGCACGGCATTCCTTGCCTTATTTTGGACTATTCCACGCCGAGTGTCCATGGGACGTTTGTTCTATCCCTGTTGAATATGGGATCCATATCATTATGCTATCGGTTGTACCTAAGTATGATGTCCATGAACAATACCCAATGATGTCTATCGTCTTGCATTCTTGACTGCTGCCAGTCGTATGCTTCTGAGACCTCGGCCTAAGCGAATATCGGCATCTTTTTCCTTGTCTTTGTTCTTCTCTGCTTTAGAGGCCTTAGTCGCCTTCGTGATGTTCCCCTGTCCTGGTAGTTTGCCCACGCGTGCACCAGTCCCCGTAGTGAGAGCCAGTAAGTCTGCAGCTCCACTGTTCGCCCCCGTTGCGGAAGCATGTGAGAGTGACATCGACACTCGCGTATCATCAGAGGAATGACCTGGTATTCGAAGGTTCATACTACCTTCTATGGGAATAAACCTGCTGAGTGTTAGTTTGAAAGCACGTTCAGTGAATGTGATACCTAAGTAAAGCTGTAAATCTTTCGCATCTAAAGAATCGGATCCACGATGCTGGGCCAATCTACATGCAAAGTGGGTTGCGGAATCGATAAACTCGTCTGCTAGCTCAAGCATGAACTTGAAGCCAAGGGAACATCGCCGAAAACAATGTCAATCAGGTTTCAAGCTAACTGGGCACGGGGGGCACGTACGTCCTCCACGTCTGGATCCACCTTGACATTTGGGTCCACACTGGTAATGATATCCATGACTGTTCGTTTGTTGCTTACTAGTCCGCCTCCAGGTTTTGTGTCCTTCGATAGCGTGCTTGTGCCTCCAGGTCCATTGGAGGCCGCCGTGGTACTGTCGACAGGCACGGTAGTGGTGGGATCCAACACCTCCGTATCCATCGAGGGGTGCACAAGGAGTGTCGGTGTACCTGCAACCACCGAGTCGTGTTTGAACCCCGAAGCGAAAACACGCCAGAATGAACCTACACAGGGTGAGAGAGGCTCCTCCCAGACCACCTGTCAGAGTAGGACGCGAGCCAACCGCGTTTGGCCATGGTTGTGGCCGAGGGTCAGGGGCGTCGAGTTCTGAACTTCCTCTGTAGTTAAATTGAATCGCCAGGTTCTTTATTGGATCCGGCGCAACATACGAAGAGCTTTGTTGAGTTGGGGGTCTGACAGGTTGCTGAGATGGCTGTCGCTGTTGCGCAGCAGGCGGTAAAGGTGCATGTTGCTGCTCAGCACTTGGGTTGGACGGCGGAGGTGTCTTGCGCTTCGTCCCCGCCATTGGAGGGGGTGGAGCGCCATTAATCGTAGGAGTCCACCCGTTTGGTGCTACATATCCCGGAGGAGGCATCCCTGGAATAGAGGCACTTTTCAACAACAATGCTGGATGTAATGTCGAAGGGTTCGATGCGGTGGACTGCGAAAACTTAGGATCATACCCCAACAATATGTCAACTTTTAGCTCCTACATTAGGCTGAGGGTGATTAGGGGATGCTCTGTTTTGGGCATGTAAAGCTGCCGCGTCCTGCGATCGTTGCTGAGTTCCCGATGGCACAGATGACTGAGCACTGTGATCTTGGGCACCATTCGTGGTATCCGATGATTGCTGTGGTTGAGACTGCTGCGATTGCTGCCGCGTCTGTTGCAACCGAAAGTGCCGTCCGTATGTAGCAAGAATGACTTGAAGCTAAATCGTGTGAATATTTCCAAGTCGTGGACTCGAATGAGATTGTGCATGACAACTTCAGATTTAGCATCACCTGTTGCCTTTGTTCCTCAGACAAGTTTCCGGCCCTGTAGGCCTGCGTGAGACTCTCCATGTGGGGAGCTAGGAGCGCAAAGACCTGAGCAGCGTTACTCTGAGCAGAGGCGGCTTGCGCCATGGCTCTTTGGAGTGCAGGATTCTGTGTGACATTGTTTGTTTGCCCGCTTTGGGCTACAGGGACACCATTCTGTCCTTGTAGCAATGTTTGAGGCAGCGGCCCGATGCGCGGTTGTGATGATGAATTGGTGCCTGGTGGTTGTTGGACCGGATTTTGAGTCCTCCTAGCGGGTTGAAGGGGCATTTGCGGTTTAGTTGCTGCCATGGCAGGACGTGAAATGATAGATGCAAGTGGGGGGGGGGGGAGCTTAGGGGCCCTAGCCACGTGATAACTAGGGCCGAGTCTATTTTCGAATTTATGGTTATATTCTAAATATATTCTAAACTGCAAGACTATCCAACCTGTAGTATTGAGCATTGGGCCCTTGCCTTGCGGTGGAAGGAAAATATACAAAATATGTAGTCTAATGTTCTAGTGAGTAAGATTGAGATCGCAAGTTACTAATCATCCTCGGAAAAGACACGCTTCAGGTCTGATAGGGCCTCTTGGTCACCGCCCCTAATTTGCCAGAGACAGCTTCCATCGGCTCCTGGCTGAAGCCGAACTGCGACTTTCGAGTCCCTTTGACTGGAATGGACCAAGACAAGGATTTCGGCGGGCTCTGTATCATGTGTCAGAAACGCCACAGCTGCCGTGATACCCGGATACACTTGCCTGGAGTGAAAGGATCATGGGGTTGTTTTTGGACAGATAAGGCTGAGTATGAAGAGGAGATTTCCAAGCGCGTCTTAAGAGATAAAGGCGAGGAGGAACTCCAACCACGCGCTGATGCTCTGGGGCTGGCCGTTTGGCCCCAGATGAGGTTGAATTCCTCTGATGCAAGCGGGCTGGATGGCTGCAACACAGGTGATAAACTTTGGATTTGGTTTTCAGTGCGGAATGGAGTGTCCAAGGATATTAAATCAAGGCGGTCGGTCTAAATGGCAGTAAATGGGCTGGTGTGAAAACAATATTGACAAGATCTTACAATTAGGTCGAAATTTCTCTGTTCCGCTTGACGGGTCTTCGACTTTGAGGGCTGGGCCCAAAAGAAAACCGTTGTTGGCAACAAGAGCGGCCTGCGGAATAAACAGACACACCTGAAACCATCGGGATCCGCTTGTCAGTGTCAATTCACCGGCAGTCATCGTTCGAGACAACGGCTCATCAGAATCGGTGACTTCCTGGTGAGAGTGCGCAGACACCGAGGTCGAGCGCGACGAGCCTCGTGGTCTTCGCCCGCGCGGTGCCACCGAAGGTGGTGGCTCATATGACGCGTATCGCAGCTTTGTAGCTTTCGGTACTGGGGAGGCGACCGTTTCGGGGAGATCTGAAGGCAGGGACCTTGACTCCAAAGCGAAGAGAAAATCTGGGAGCTATAAATAGTTTAGGGTTTCTACTCATGTGTGAGATGAGTCCACTCACAGAGGACGATTTGGCAGTCGCCACAATTCTTCTTAGCTCATCTAATTTCTCAGATAAGTCAAGAATCTGTTGACATCTCTGGAGAGTATCTGTGAGGGAGAGTACTGAGCTTTGGTATGGAGACTAACGAAGGCGATATGGCGACCGGCTCGAATCTTGATGGCTGATATCGTTTCGTAGAGCCAGAGTGGTCGTTGATCACAACGAGAAAGCACCCTTAAGACCGAAAGCAATAGAACTTCTTGGACGGCGGCTTTGTCCGCACATCAGCGACAGATCAACGAGGGAACCCTCAAAACATACGGGAAGCTAGCTTTAAGGGTCTAATGAGTGCTTGTAACATCGATTCCGCGGACACATCGACAAGGCCCCCGTATTCAGCAACCGCCGCAGCGAGCAATGTGTAGCCAGTTGGTCCGTAAGGGCACTTCGCCACATTTGAACGATGGAACGAGCGCGGTGAGCCTATAAGGTGCCCATCATTGATCCCTATGGCTATCATCGCGTGAACGACCATCTTGCGATCTTCAGTTGGGACTGACCAACGTATTAGATGCGGGCAAAAGG